CCACAATTTCCAGATCAATTGATAATCTTAACAAAATGTATTATCTAAAGACACCGTTAGCACAACATGCTCATAGTAGGTTTGCTACTCAAAAAATGGCATCAATGGTAATAGGCAAATTGGTTGAAAAAAAACCTTTGGTCCAAAATGATTATAGCACTTTTTCAAAAATTCAGGAAAGTGAAAGGAGTTTTGTTGATTATAATAGAACATTTTCAAGTACAATCAAAAATATCCAATTTCATCGTTATAAGCTTACAAGTAAAGTAATGGTCAATGCAAACGTCAAATGTCCTGTAATAAAGTTTACATTTTCTAGAGTACATCAGGAAAGGAAAAATGTTAGCAATCAAAGGTTCTTGCCTGGGCATTATATTGAGATGCAATCTAGAGTAAAAGGCCAGAATGTGATTAGGAGTTATACTCCCTTAGAAGGCAGCTTATTTAAGTCGTTTTCAATTTACGTTAAAATTTATCCTAACGGGCTCTTTTCTCAGCACTTGGTATGTACATTATTATTTTTAATATGATTTTGAACATTATTATTTAATAAGATTTCTTTAAATCCATAATAAAAATGTTTGGTTGTTTAGAATGAACAGTTAATAGGATATGAAATTCAAGTTCGTGGTCCATTTGACATTTGTAATAGACCTAGACCTAATCCATATCTTATGTCTATAAGTCCAATAAATCCATTAACTTCAGCGCAATATTTTAATTGGGAGACAAGCCTTTATTCACCCACGAGTCCTTACAATAAACTTATTGGGTCTCCTGGAATCTTGTCTCCTATGAAAACTTCTCTATTAAACCCAAATAGTTCAGATGGCTGCTGGGATGAATTATATATGATTGCCGGTACTTTTTTTTTAATCTTTCTGATTAAGCGAATGCCATATCTTACATCTTTTTTTTTTTAATATAATCACAATCTTTTTTCCTATGTTCTTAGGTGGCACTGGAATAACACCAATGTTGCAGGTAATATTCAGTGTTGATGATTTTCTGCGGTGGTATTTGCTTATTTTTAAAAATAAATAAGTTAAAAATTATAACTTAATTCTAAAATTGCAACAGTTAATTAAGTATCATCTGGAACAGTCAGCAAAACGAAATAACGACTTTAAGCGAAATGTTAATTCTAAACGAATGCATTTATTATTTGGAAACCGCAAAATTGAAGATATTATTGATGGTATATTACTTGAAGATCTGGCCCTTTCAAGCAGGGGACAACTTACTGTAACATACTGTCTTTCAGATCCGCCTTCAGATTGGGTTGGTTTTCAAGGGAGAATCGGTCCACAAGTAATACAAAACTGGATGAATATAGTGCGGGGTGAAGACAAGTCTCAAACATTCTCAGAAAGTAGCGATTATACACATATTCAAGATCATTATATACCCTATAACTCAGACGAGCATAATGAGAGTTCTTCGCCAGAGATCAGCTCTAGGTTACAATCACCACGTGAAATTTCACAAACCTTGCCATTTTCACCCTATGGGACAGCAGATATACAAAGTTCTAGAATAGAATCAAAATCAAGAAAAATAAATTCGTTAACGGAAAGAATACCCGGAACAATTAATCTGGATTTAGTAACTTCTATGAAATGGAATTATGTAATGCGTGAAAAGATTTTTGTTTGTGGACCATCTAGCATGATGGTTACTGTTGAAGAAGCTTTGCTTAAGATGGGATATGATGAGCAAGATATTATTATATTATATTAGATTAATGCATTTTAGGATATATTTAGGATATATGTCTAAAATTATTAAATTTACCCGTAAAAAAAAAAAAATGCTAAGAATTTTACTGCTTAATGTGTTAAATATACTATTGCATTATTTTAACATTTGTAAAAGAAATTTTTATGCTGCGTTTTAATTAAAGAAAATAAAAAAAAATTTAGTATAATTTAGTATGATAATTTGAGATAACATCACGTTGGTACAGTGATAATTTTTTTGATTAGAGAATGCCGCGAAGCGGCATTTTCTGACAATCAAAAAAATTTCACTGTACCACGTGATGTATCTCAGAATTATCATGCTATATTTAGAAATATTACACGTATAATTTTCACTACGTATAGAGGTGAGATTCATGAATGATATTGAATAAATATCCATTTTATATGATTTCTGTAAGTGAATTCACGAATATTCATTGAATATAATATTATGTAATTTAGCTATGTTTTATCTATATTTCTAAGCAAAAAATATTCATCGATGATTTGTCTATTCATAAAATTTGTATAACTGGATTCATCCTACTAATTTCACCAGGTCATTGGTAAATCGCATTTTTGATTGGGAGAAATTGACGATCCTTAGTAACGTGATATAATCCTGGCCAATCAGGAAGCAAGATCAGGTGTAGCATGAAAATATTGAAAATTGAACCTAGCTGCCGCACCAATATTTCACGGAATTCCTCGATTTTGATTGGCTAAGAGCGACGATCAATAATTTAGGCCAAAATTACTCAAAATTTTAC